ACAGATGCAGGCAGATGACATGCAAGTCAAACTATGTTTATTCAATGTAGATTTATTTGCACTGACAAACTACTTTTGAATGCGAGGGATAAGTCAACCAAACTAAGAACCAATCCAGTACAAGCAGCCCTGTCTACCTATGCCTAATAGCCACGGGAAGTCAGAATTTTCACTATCTTTCTTACCTTCCATTCCCAGAAATTAATGCTTTCTTAACTTTTCAGTGAGTTTCTCAAATGAGCGTGTCAGCTGATAATGATTATTTTTTGCTTTAGTTTTCAGTATATGGATTGTTAGAAAATTATCTCCAAATATCTGCAAGTTCCCAGTCCCCAACCGTTACCTCAGTGGTGAATAGTTCAGACATTTTGAATTCTCTTCTCTGATTATATTAAGCATATGCAGAAATGCTGCTGCCACCCACACACACAGGAGAAATGCCAACAATTTGTGTTGAAACTGGTTTTGGTTTTTGCTACTTATATGTTATTGCCAGTGTTAATGCAGCTCCTGATCCTGCTTTTAATTTTATTACTTTTACAATCAGATTACTTTTTATTTTAAAATGCTTCTGTTTATATTAAATACCTTGCAAAATCAATGAGGTAGGAAAAGTACTTAATCCCACCTTTCACTTGCACCCCTTAGAAATCTGCGAATGTATTTGGTGCACACCTGGATAAGAGAAAATTTAGACAACAATGTAATTGAAAATTTTTGAGGTCCTTTAAATCTCTACTCTCATAAATACCTATGACAAAGCCCCGGATAGTTCCTGAGAACACTCCTCAGTACAACCCATCTGATTGAGACCTTCTGGAAAGTACAGATGAAGTTCTGAATTCCCATCTGCAACTGCAAGAAGGCAGAAGACCATATAAGCATAACCCAAAGGATTCTTATTAAGATTTTTTTTTTTTTTTAGTTCTTAAGTGGTTGACAAAGTGGTAGTTCTATTCATAAATAAGGTATTTTTTATTACAATCTAAGAAAATCAAGACTGTAACAGTGATTAATTTTTTTTAATAATCTCTGTGCTTAAAAGACTTCCGATCTTAATAGGGCAATCGTGCATCTCCGTTGTGTTCCAGCAGAACTATTACTCTCTGTTCTGTGTTACTCTAATTGCAGTCTAATGGTTTACACTACCATAATAGCACTAAATATTTTACTAAATGGAGTACAGTATCTAAAAAGTGATTTAAATTGTTCCAGGACTGAATATTCAAAGATGGAAAAAAACTTCTCTTTTTCTCTGAACTGGGAGTAAAAAAGCTCTTAAAATTTGATTCTTGTTTGTCTTATTAATGAATTGGATAGAAAGTATTACTAGAAGTAGAAATTAAAAAACACACCATAGAAGAATTTAGTAAAATAAGAAAAACTTGTGATGCTTTGATACTGATTCAGCAGGCTCATGCAGTTCACTATGTCAGATTATCAAAAAACTTTGATTTATTATTAATTCAATGTTTTTAATTAATATTTTTAAAAAATTAAAAATAACATATTATTTTTCAGAATTTCTGATTGTTTACTTTAATAAAACAAAATGCTGCATATCCCGAGAAATATCTGAAATAGCTCTAGACCAGCAAGGCCAGTGGGGCAGCAAGCAGCCCATCTTTCCCAAGATGCCACTGCCCTGCCCAACCCAGCCCGCCTTTGTAATGGCTACAGCAGCAAGCTTATGTGCCACTGATCAGTTAGGCGCCAAGCCCCTAAGATCCTTTACATATTCTGAATGCTCTTTCTCACAAAAATAACTCAATGAAATAAGTCAGACCACATAATTGAGGAAGGACTACTAATCCAAGTAAGGATTTGCTAAATCTTGACATTATCATGCAGTGGTAACCCTAACTGCACTCCATAACATGCTGCCTCGTTACCTTGGACACAAAGCCAGACTTCTCTAACTCCAGAAACAGCTCTGAAGTTGCCACTAGGATTGTCCAGACATCCTAATTCTGTACAGAGCTCCAGAAAGTTAATTTAAGAAATTATTCTATATATTTCGTTATTACCTACAGAATATTTGGAACAGCCCATAATCCCTTGATCTAGGGACTGCCAAGATTTATGGTCACTTCCTGTCTGGACAAAGAAATCTATTCTTTTAGAACAGGATAAGAAAAGTTTGTCATTTAATTCTCACAAGAACAATTTGAACAAAAAAATTGAAGGCAAAATACCTTAAATAATGAATTAAGTAATTTGTGTACTAGATAATTTTTGAGCATGTACAAAGGTGACAATAAGAATGGTTCACTGTTCACACAGCAAGGGAGAAGCCTCAAAGATGATGCTTCCTCCTGCTGACACTGAACAGGGCTAAACATGAGCCCTGCCCAGGCACAGGAGCATCTCTCCAGCATCAAACATGCCCACAGAGGACAGTATCCCTGCTAGGATAAAAAGTAATAATAAAAAAAATATAGAAGATTTTGATAAGGGAAAACTTTACTTAAACAAAATTGCATCCATGAAATATCATTTTTTGTTCAAGAATCATGAAGTTTTAATTTGGTCTTTTGTTCCCATTAGGAAATACTTTTAAAAACCTGAGATCTCTGAAAGGATTTATTTTTGCAATATACAGACCTAACCTATTACTCTTAAATAATTACCTTGCATAATATTCTAATTTCATGGAGAAATTTAATTTTAATTTACAGTTTAATTGTCCTACTTTAGGAAAGCTCGTCACCTGTGTCACTTTGTGACTAATAATTTTAATCCTCATTTAATTATTTACTTCAAGGGAGCATTTTAATTATGGATATTACTGTATCTAAAGTAAGTTACACTTGAGGTTAGTGAAAATTTACATAGTAGACTGCTCACCTATACTTCCAATAGCTATAGCTCTCCTTGCACATGTCCTGCTGTAGAAACTACTCCTGAGACTGCAGAGCAATGGTATTTTGTTCCTCACTGACACCTGTCTCTTTGTACATGTTCTTCTGTCCCATTTTCAAAGCAGACTTTCAAATCCACATCCCAAGAAAGCAGGTCAGGTGAAGTTTTTCCACCATAGAACAGAAATTAAAATACACAGCTGTTTTGTGTGCTTCCAGCAACTCATACCCCTCCCCCCCTCTCTCTCCACAACCTTGTTTGCAGGTAGACAAAAGAGAGGTTTTTCAGGGCTTCCTAGCCCTTCCCAAAACTCTGACAGCATTCACATAGCCAAGGTGCTCCTCCTTGCACCCACAGCCCAGCCCATCACCTTGTCTGGAGAAGTCACAGCCAGGATGCCAGAGATCAACATTAGTGGTAAGCGCAACGTACCCAGCTGAAATATACATGACAAGATAATAACTTCACAGCTCTAAGATAAAAACTGCAAATAATCTTTGGATTTAGGGTCAGCCATACAGCAGTTGCTCCATAGGGAAGACAACAGAGCAACCAGTCTCTGTAGTGGTCAGTAAGAGAGGCCAAGGAACCAGGAGAGATGCACAGTAGACACTTTCTTCTGGTTTATTTCACCAAATTTGAACAACCAGTGATTTATGAGTCTTCTGAGCTGAGGGCTGTATGTCAGCTGCAGCAGCCATCAGTTAACCAACTTTCACAAATTTATCTGTTTGCAATTTCTTACGGTGATCTACACCTTCTAATCTATTGCATTAAAAACGTATATATAGTTTTTGCTTTGTGTTTGCTTTAAATATGCCAAACTTGTGAGTTGGTCTGCTATCACAAGGTCATCTTTCCAGTAGTTTTAACTTCCAAAGCAGTCATTTCATCGTCACATGAGCTGGACTCTGCAGCTTTCCTGCAGTGCACCATGCAGTATTTCTTCTTTCCCCTACTTAAAAGAATGGCCACAGCTGTCTTTAACCTATGGTTCTTGTCTACTGCCTCAGAGAGCATCCCAGGCTTGGTCATGCTCCCTAACAAGTGAGAGTGCTCAACACCTTTCAGCACTGAGGATATCAAGTTTCTCACCTGAAATCGCTTACCTCATCAATCTCTAAGGGCACAGTTTGGAAGTCGTTAAAAATAACGAGAATGCTGGCACTTCTCCCAGTAATAACAGCATTGAATTTGGTGTTACTTTCCTACTTTAAGACATTTGTATATATCCACAGATCATTTAACTCTTATCTTTATACTAGCTTTAGTGAAACTAATGGCTGCTGAAACAATGAGATTTCTATTCTAATTTTTATTTAAATAAGTGTCTGCCCACTCCATTATGTGACATAAACACACAGCATATTGCATCACAGTATTGCCCAAAGTGTTTACCAGGATCACCATATCCATCACTAAAATGCAAGCACTCCTCAGTCAATAAACACTTCAGCTGACAATAAAGTCACAGGAGAGTTTACAGAAGGAAAACTGAAAAGCAACAAATCCAATTTGTCCAAAACAAATTTAGAACCAGTACTGCTAGTAGATTCTCAGAGGGTCTTGTATTTTCCTTTCCATTTGTATCTATTGTAGCATTTTTCCTCCGAGCCCCATGCAAGGGGACTGACTCCTTATCAACTTACTGTGCGCCTCATCATCACTCCTGTAGGGTCCATATTTACAGGCTTTGACAAGATAATGAACCCTCAATAATGCGCTGCAGGACATCACAAAAAGCAGCTCTAAAGCGTTTCATTAATCCCCTCCAAAGAGAAAACACCAGTTGTTGCAAAACACATATTATAACTTTAAAAGCGTCACCCTTATTTTCAGCATCTAGTTTAGGAACTAACATAAACTTTCTCACTGCTACATTTTCCCTAATAAGAACAAGTCTAAATTGCATACTTTGAAATAAGCAACAGTACTATAAATCTGAAAAAACACCTTCAGTACATACCTTTTATTACTCTAAGCATGTACTTAAACTGCACATGAAAAAGCAGTAGACATATTCAGAAGTCACAGATCCAGTGCTTCTATGCTATGAGACTGAGACATTTCAGCTCCCGAAAACTGATCACAGTATGTGAAGTAACACATGCATTTCAGCATCATCTACTCACAGATAAGATACCTCTCAGATGCACAGGGTGTGAACACCAGGAACTCTGGAAGCCCATCACACTATGAGAAGTCCAGGAGCCATGGGCTGCTGCTGAAAGCCATATCCTCCTCTCAAAATCAGTAGGGCTCAGTATGGCTTAACTCACCAGTATATCTAGATGGGAGCAGAAAGCCAGCAGGCAGGTATGGGTCAAATAATAATTCAACCAACAACAAAACTACAAGTATTAGATTTGTCAGAAAGTTTGCTGAATGCTTTGTAAAGTTAACTTTTACAGTTTTGATGTTGAGATCAGCATATGTGAATATCTGAAGAGGAATATTACCATTACATACAACAGAGTAATTAAAATCTTGCAAAAATTAATCTAAAAGCCTTCTTGATTAAGGAAATGAGCCCCTCAGTTATTTAAATAACCATTTTTAAGGCAACTAAATGTTTAATACCTTTGCAAGGAATTTTCTTTGCATTTATTTTTAAGCAGTGGACAAAGTCTGTTTTGGAAACACACTGGTAATATTCCCATTGGTCTGTGCAGCACCTTTTATCTCAGAACATTTGGGAGTCTTACAAAGCCAGAAAAAAAAAAAAAAAAAGAAATCATTCCTAAAATGACAATGTAGTAGATTAATGATTAACTTTAAAAATACCTACTAATGATAAACACCCACAGATCTGCTGGAGCCAGCCATGCCATTTAAGCAACATGTGGAAATTTTCAGACATCCTGAGTGGTGAAACTATCATCTAGCAATTGATTTGAGGACAATTAAGGACAGCAAGAATGAATGAAATCATTAAAATTTGAATTGATTAAAATAGGCATTTAGAGTCAGAATATTTGGGTAAATTTTATTTTATTTTCACTCATAGTAAACGATGAAAAGAGGAAAATAGTTGTGTGCTTCCTAAAGCTTGCCTGTGGCTCATTATCCCATTAACTGGTATCAGTAAGTTGGTTAAATCAAGCTAAATGACAGCTAGTTGCTCCACAAACATTAGAAGTACAGCAGAGTAAGAGACTTTCAGATAATTAAATCTGCACAGAGGTCATTCCTTTTGAACTTTAGAAGCACATTAAGAGACATTTGTATTTGTATCTTCCAAATAGAAGATGACAAAAAAAAAGATAAGTAATTCATAGTTAGAATCTCATTCAAAAGCTTACAGGTGTTGTAGCAGCAGTGGAGTATTTCACAGTAACAGCAAGTTAGTATTGTGTATAGACCCTCTTCTGTGAAGTGAATGAAATTGGAGCTTCCTATTATCTCATACTTGCCCCCCCTCCTATCACACTGTTTTGGTTTGGGATTGTTTGATTGCTTTTTTTGTTTTTGATTTTTTTGTTGTTCTATTTTTTGTGATTTTTGTTTTGTTTTGTTGTTTATTTTTGCTTTGTGAGTTGTTTGCTTTTTGGTTTGGTTTTTATTAGAAATTCAACACTAAGTAATGTAGGAAAAAATTCTCCCTTATGGTTTGATATTAGCTTTGATGTTGACTGAACTGCAGTTTTAAAGTTTGCTCTTAAGAAAAAAGATAATGTAAATGCTCTACATGTCTAAGCGTGAGCCCTGCATGAGAGAAACTTGTGCATGAGTTGTACAGAAAATTCCCTTACACAAATAGGGCACAGCTCTTCCTACAGCTGAGGTCACACCCTTTTTCTTATTAGTGGTTGTTTATTGTCAGTCTGCCAACACAGCTAAAGCAACCCAGGTAGACAGTACAAACAGATGGGACCTTGCTATCCATCCCTCCATCCCTCCCTTTTGGTCCACTTTTCACTGCTTTACAATTGCATCAACATGAGAACCGTGCCCAAGACAGAGATCTGTGTCAAACAATCTGTGGCATTTTGTAGACCTGCTGATGGCTTTCATAAGCTGATCCCGAACTGTGGCAGCCCAGAAGATACAGCTAACAGTGAGTATTTTCACAAGGACAAGGTGCATGGAGAATAACAGTGTCTCTCCAAAATTCAGTGATGCCAAGGCTGTCCTGGGAACAGAGAAAAGAGTGAAAATGGCCTTAAGAACATAAGAGGTATAATTATGATCAAATTCATATTTACACACACAAGGAAAAGAACATAAAGGAGTATTTAAACTCAAAGCAGGTCCTTCCCCTCTCCTGTCAAATCCTTCCAAATACTTCACATATACTTCTTACAAATACAGATATTCAATCGTGGTAACCGTGTTCTTTCTGTTTCCCAAAGCCACTCATTCACGCAGGTCCAACTACCCTCTCCAAATATTCCACACCAGTAGAAAAAAACAAGCCTTTGATTTCATATTCAGCTGTTTGCTAGGAAAGTACTCAGCCCTGAAGATATTTTCTGACAATTAGTTCAGAGGCTTTGCACAATTTAATCTGAAGTTTTAAACTCTGATTGTGCAATTAAACACAGTATACTCCTGCAGTTGTAATTTATCACACTGCTTCCACGTCAAGTAATCTAACCAACAAAACTGTCTGGTACCTAGGAGTGGAGAAACGAAAAGGATAATGTTCTGCAGGAAAGCAGGTCTATCTAACATTTTACAATGCTAAAAATACCCCTGGGACTTGTTCTGATATCTTGTAATTACGCACACATATCCTGATTTATGGTGCATGTCTCCCAGCTCAAGGAAGTATGCACTCTGCCTCATATCTTGCCCTATTTACAAGAAAAATACTTGATTCTGTAATGTCATAAAAGAGAGGACAGGCTCATTGCATGTGTTACTATCACCTTCATACGAACACGGGGCATAATCTAATGACGCTTTTCATCTGAGGATAAATATGCACAATTTAGCCTTAAACAGAGTCAGCATCTGATCATGGCAACTGCTGCCTTTGTGAAACATGGCTGCGATGCTGAAGACCCCTTCCTTCATAAAGCTGGTGGAGAGTGTGAGAGAGGAGATGGAGGCAGCCAGTAAAAGGACAGAAATGGTTATCACCTGTGTATCAAGAAACACACTTCTTCAGGCAAAGTCTGAGAATTCATCTCACTTCTCCACCCCCTCCCCCCCATCTCCACATCACCTGCTCTCCTGCTAGGCAGCAAAGAACAAAGCAAACAGTCTACATTGTCTGAATGAAGGCTGATAAAGTGGTTGATAGCAAAAATATTTATATATTTCAGCTGTATTACCAAAAACATCTTAACCAATAGTTACATGCTGTTTCAAAAGAGAAAAGGATGGCCTAACTTAGGCTGAGGCCCCATCTGCATTCCCAAGCTTGCTCTGCAGTCCTCTCATGGCTTAAATCTTCTCTATACAAGGAGATAGCAGAATAGGTTCATAAAGAGTGCTCTGATAGTTGAGGCATTAATGCTTTCCAAAGAAATGTTGAGATCTTCTGGTAAGAAATGATTTAAAACTATTAGTCATTTGAATCACTCATTTTCTGTAAATTGAGGGTTTTTTGTTTGTTTAATTTTCAGCCAGGTTCCAGGTACATTTTATGTTGTAACACTTTTACTCTTTCATGTCGATATATAAACTGAGATGTGACTTATATAACTACTCTTTCACACACTTGCAGAAGTGTGTGAACAAAAAGTTGCTGGAAAAGCAGCAACCCACTTGCCATGTTTGTCCAGCAAAGTCCATATAGGTAGATGTGCAGGCAATTTTATTCATAGCACACTCTCCCCTCCAAAAAAAAATTGAAGTGACAATTGTGTTTAATAAAGGTTTTTGGTTTGAGTTGAGTTTGGGCTTTGTCTGTTTTACATTGTTCAGTTGGGTGGGTTTTTTTGTTTGCTTGGTTTTTTGTGGGGTGGGTTTAGGGGTATTTTAGTGGGTTTTTTTGTTTGTTTTTTGAGGGGGGAGGGGAGAACAATCTAATTTAATTTGTATACTTTTCACATTTTAAGCATTTTTAAGAGAATGAGAGTTGGAGCCCTAGCATCCACATCTTTCTTCAAATACAATCCAACATCTTAATGACAATCAATACCTTCCTCCCTCTATAAGTGAGCTCCCTGATTATTCCTAATCTTGATGAATGGCAAACTGAACACCAGGTTGGGTGAAGGACATTGCCTCTGCTGCCAGTGTTTTGCTGAACTGGATGCAGAAAAGCAGGAGTGGGGATTCTTGTTTCTAATTATCTCACTTTTACTAGACCATAAAGTTTCCATCAGCAGTTTGTTGACACAAATTTATAACTCAGGAAGAGAATAAATTAAAAAAATAATAATGAGGGGAAAGGGGGGGTGGGGGGGGAAGGTGTCAATATTCATAGAAGCAGATAAGACAAATTCTTTGGTTTCACTGCAATTTTCTTACAAGATTATCATCAGAAGAAATTAAGAAAAAAATCTTGAACTATGTGCTTGAATGGAGGCAAGGAGATGCTGTAGCTATCTACCAAGGTTTTTAATACTCAGTACTCACTATTCATAATGGTCATTATTTGGCATCAAGCAACAGAAGCAAGAAAAGTATCACAGTTACTTGCTTTTCTCTCCTTCACACACTGCACACCTGGCAGCCCCTCACAGAAAGTAGTGCCAGGAGGGTACAACAGGGACTCAGGGATGCATTTGATATACCATCTCTGTGCAAATGCCATAAGCCTCGGGGATGGGGGACTGCTGCTTTCCTAGCTTTCATGCGACATTTGCTTTGGGGGCGTGCAGTAGGCATGTTTCTGGCCATTGTACAGGAGCTAGTGTTTAAAAACTTGTCTCGTTGTAGGATTTCTGGAAGCATTTTGTGTGATGAGAAGCATCATACATTGGTATAAGCATAATATTAAACTAAAAAGACAGTTTTCAACAATAAGGAAAGTCTTCTTAAGCTAACTCAGGCATCCCTACATGACATGGCACTGGGCCACACAGCCAAGCCAATCCTGGAATTCTTCTAAGAAACAAGCAAGAGTACCTGCAGGGCAGCTCACCTTTCCTAAGCAGCAGCAGCATGTGCTTAGTCTGACATCCTGTAGCTTCACAGTGCCCATGCTGTGCCATAACCATGCGTGCTCACGTGCCATCTGCCCCAAGGAAAGAGAGCAGAGAGAAAAGTGCCTTTGAGTTTGGCACGTAACAGTCTTAACCAATGCAGCTTTTACCTTAAAAGCAAAATCCCACCAATGCAGCTTTTACCTTAAAAGCACCATCCCATCAGGAGACCGTCCCAACGGCTCCCCCAGACCAGAGCAAACCTTCCTCCTGTCCAAACCCGTGCTCCAGAACCTGTAGACAAGCAGCTGCTAAGGAAGCTGCAAGAGGAAATATAAGGCTGAAGTTCAGCAGTAGCTTCCACACCTTCATAAGACCTGTGAATCAAGGGAACCTTTTTGACCCTTGCCTCTGTGACAGTGCACCTATGCAACACCATAGGGATCCTCCGAATTTTCATTTGTAGACAAGAGCTCTGTTTTTTAAGATACAGTTTAGATTAGACGAGGTTTGATGTTGCTTCTAGTAGAAGCATTTCTGTTTAACTATTTTTATTTATTCTTTCTTTAAATTGAAAGCATTCAGTCTCACTGATGAATACTGCCTGTCACAGAAATGATTGTTCATGTAGATGATTTAGGATCTGCTATTTGCATACCTGAAAACCTGCCTACAGAAAAAGAAAAGTGGAAGTGATATTAAGCAACGTGAAGGTCTTATAGAGTTAGTAACAAGAATAAGTGAAGAAGGCTTCTGTAGCAAATTGAAGAGACAAAATAAGCCATCACTGTGTTAAAAGCTATCATTTCTCCAGGGATATTTTACAGGCAGTCAAAATAACAGAAGCCCAATTCAGAAAACCAGGAATAGGATGGCATTACTGCTCTCTAGCCTAATGGAGCTACAGGGATACTGAACATTGCAAAGAACTGGGGCCTAACATGGAAGCCGTAGACAAAAGAGAAAAGGATGGACATAAGAGAATCATTTATAGTCTCAACAACCCAAAACTGTCAGGAGTCTGCCATTTTTAGCTTGCAAGATATAGCACATATTTAGCATCTCAAAAGTCTGAATTTTGCAATAAGCACCAGACTCAAAACTTAATGTGCAGAGCATATAGTCTCTTTGTAACATGTTCAATGACATTGCACTTGATTGAATAAGAGGAGCCATTTAGACTTTACATATTGAGCAATGGCTCATCTACAAAATGTCAGAGTATAGAAAAGCAAAAGAACACATTACAAAAGAATATCCAGTCCTTCAGATAAGGCTTAAAAGTACTACATAATATATCCAGGATTAATAACATATTAATAGCTGTGCAAACTCATACCATTCCCATTTCAATAGTTTGAGCCAAATAGGGAATGCATCTGACTTTATCTTTTTATAATTCTACATTTTAACAGTTACATTGAATCAGGTCAAGCAGAACCCAAGACACTTTATTTCAACCTTATTTCAATGGTTAGAGCTGCAATTTGAATAGAAAGCGAGTAGTACTGTTCTCCATATTTTAAACTATTTTAATAGTTTAAGTAAATGAAAGTTATTGAAACCAGTTTCAAGAAATGAACTTGAATCATGCAGAAATGGGCTGTTTCAATAAGGAATAAGATCAGCAGCACAGAAGTGTATTACAATAAAAAGTAAGAATATGCCAAATCAGAGCAAGATTCAAAACTCCAGTACATTTCAGGCAGTTCTTCAGTAATACGTGTTTCCACTCAGAATATACCTGTTGCACACAAAAGAGAAAATGAAATGTTAATCTACACAATAATTCAGCTTCATGGGAACAGAGAACTAACAAGTGTTTCAGTCCAGTACTTCACAGCAAGCACTGGGCCAAAACTAGATGAGGCAGGACACAAATGGACTAGGCTGGTGTTGGCGCAGGTGAGGGCTCTTACCTCCCCTCTCTGCCACAGGGTCAGCACTCCATGAAGCATCACCACTGCAGGAAAAACATCTTTGAGAAATTCCAGCACCAGAGGTTACATGCTGGTGCTTCAAAGCATGGTATTTCTAAGAGCACCCTCTCATTATGTTTCTTTTTATAGACACAGACCCATGAAGGAAAGACCTTGCTGACTGCAGCATTTTTCTCTGCTGAGATGTGCTATTGGCATAGAGCTGACAAATTTATATTAAATAATAGAATGCTTAAGTTATCTTCACTTAAACACATACGTATACTCTACTCTCAGTGAAGAAGAGAATAAGAAAATAAAACCATACATAACATCATCTTTTTTTTAGCTGCAATAAAAGCAATGTAGTCATAGTTGTTGCCTCGCACTCCCAGTCCAAAAAGCTAGTTCATTCTTACAGGGGAGAAATGGAAGCAGCAGCTGAGTAAACCAAGTTCTGTTCAGCCAAGCTAATATGCCCTTTGCTAAGAGCCAGTGCAAGGACATCCAGCATCCCTGACCAGTGCCCACAACCAGCATCATGCAGCAGAAGCTTGCTGCAAAACTACTGAGGATCACATGCCCATAGAACACAACAGCCACACATCCAACCAATTTAGGCACTAGGTACCCATATTTCATATTTCAAACTCTAACCTTAAACCTCAGAACACTCATCAACCAGCTCTGGAGATGCTAAAGTTTTCCTCATGAAACCCAAAATTTTCACATGCAGCCCAATGCCAAGGAATATTTCATCTCCAGAGGTCTGAGCAATTCACATTTTTGCAAGGCCTAAGCCTCATTAGGATTTTCTCCCTCTTACATCTTGCTTAAGAAGGTTGGCCTCACAGGTGTGCTCAAAATACATTTTTACTTAGACAGGTTCCACATAAAAAGGCAGCCATAAAAATTCTCTTCAGAATTGATTGTTACCATCACTGTGGCAGAGGCAGTAGATCTTGTACTACAAGCAGCTCTTCTCAGCTACTACGTGCAGAAACCAGGTGTCTTTTTCAGCAGTATGGAATGAATCTATCAGGTGGGCCAAGAACCCAAAGAGCAGACTTTGCAATTGCTCACGTTTTGGCTGCAAAGTCCCCTTACAAATCTGTGTATAACTTGACTGGCAGCTCATTTAGTGTCTGGAGTAAAGAAAAAGGGAACAATTACACTATCTCAAATCATCATTATTGTTTCAATGATTGCATTAGCATTCTCCAAGCATAAACGCTCCACAAAACATTTGAGGCAGACATCTAATGATGGATTTTCCCAACAGAGAAAGCAATTCCTCTAAGCAATAAAACAGTCTCTGAGAAATCCTGCAGTCATAAATCTAGTATTTCTCATTACAAAATTTACATCAGCCACAAAGTGATTACTTCTAAAATTACAAACCCTTGTGGGCAGCAATATTAGTAGGTTACCAATTGCCATCTCATGACTCATGAGAAAAAGTCAAAGTCATAATAGTCTTGTAAAAAACAAAATATCAAAAGAATTAATTGTCTTACTATAGACAAAGTTTAGGGCATCCTCAGAACAGACACCTAACTCTTGAAGGACAAAGACCAGCAGTAAGTCCCCACAGAAGCTCATAGAGGTTACAGAGGAAAGTCTGAGCAGCACAGCCATCGCAGCTTCCCAACACATCCCTTCACACATCCAGCATTTCTCACCCAGGAGCAAGGAGCCTGTAAGACGGAAAGATGGAGACAATAAAAAATAAGGGACATATTCACAGCCCCCTACTCCTACAGAAAGTGAGCTACTACAGAAGTGTAGTTCATTGCCCAGAGAAGGGCAATAGCTAACCCAATCAGCCACCACTTACTAAATGTAATCAGAAATTAAACTGTTTAACTCATCTGGATTCACTCTTCACATACCTTAAGAAGCTTCATTAGCTTAACTGCAGAGAAGGCAGAGAAGAAGAAGAAGAGCAAGTGGATACCAATATTTCTGTGATTAGAAAATGATCTGCCAGTTACCAAACCCACAAACACAACCCTGCCAGTACAGGAAACAGGAACAAGCTTTGGCTCCCTTGCTGACTTAAAATTTAAGTAATACAGAAGGTAACCTTCAAAAAGTAATGGCTGCTTTAAGGGCTTAAATAGAAGAGTTTTATTGCTCCCTAGATGTGAACTTTCACATAGAAAGGAGGGAGGAACTGAATGCGGGCACTGCCCCACACAGATGCATCATGACTGTTCTTTCTCTCACCTGAGGCATGTTCTGGTTTCTCTACAAAAGCAGTTGCACTCTGAGATGGCCAGGCCCACACACATACACCTCACTTTCATTGCTGAGGGACTCCCCCAAAAACCTGGTATCAGAACAAGGGACAAGCACATAGCCACAAGATTAACCTTATCTAAATACAGTGGTGGACAAGACATCACTGTAGAGCTCTGGCACCTTTTTCACTACTGCATGCAGCCATTTGTCAGCCAGAGGCAGCCCAGGAAGGAGCAGAGGCTGCACTGCTCCTGAGCAGTGACACAGTTGTGGAGCAGCAAGGCTGAACTTGGGTCTGAATAAGGTGTGTGCTCAACACAGGACATCAGATCGAGAGAACACTAGCTCCCAGCACCGTACAAACCACTTAGATCCAAACCAAATAACAGACAGTTCTTCAGCATCCCAAGAAACCAGGCTATGGAACAGGCTCATCCCCATGCCTGCACTGCTTGGATCTTTTCTGGGCTTGATCAAAGGCCAAGCAGGGATGAGTAACCCTCTGCTCGCCACAATCTCAAAGTTATGAGTACTTTCTTTTTACTGCAATTCTGATCACTGGCTGTTTTACTGCTTGATCTGCACAGCATGGTGCAAAATGTATTACAAGCAAGGTGATAGAAAAAAAGAAAAAACACTGTAAATACATGTTTGCAAAAGAAATAAAGTTTTATTGCATACAAAAATATACTAAAAATGCATTCTCAATTTATTACCTCATCTTTGCCATACCCGCTGCACTTCATTTTAACTATTCTGGGAGTATCCTGGTCACATTCCATGCTTATGAGAAAACTATTTTCCAGCTATGTCTGTTCTTTCCCATGGAATGAAAAATATTCAATCTGTTTATGCTTTCTGCCCTAATAATACATTTGAAATTTATAGGGCTGTAAAATGATATTCCAGCATGGCATTAGCTATTTCGA